GAGATTGCCGAGGACAAGGACAATTTCAAGAAATTCTACGAACAGTTCTCGAAGAACATCAAGGTCTGTGTGAATTATTGCCAGTGATTGGCCTTTTTTGCTTGCTCATTCGTGTTTTCTTCCCTTCATTCACTTTTTTTTTTAGCTTGGCATCCACGAGGATTCAACAAATCGCAAGAAATTGTCAGAATTCCTTCGTTATTACACATCGGCATCAAACGAAGAGATGACCTCTTTGAAGGATTACGTGAGCCGTATGAAGGAGAATCAGAAGCAGATTTACTTTATCACTGGTGAATCCAAGGAAGCGGTTGCAAGTTCAGCGTTCGTTGAACGCGTGAAGCGGCGTGGTTTCGAGGTTTGTTGTTTGGGGAGGTTTTAAAACAACTTACCCTTTGTTTTCCTCCGAGATTTTACTTGTGTGTACAAAAGCATGATGGTATTTTCAGGTGGTTTATATGACGGACCCAATCGATGAATACTGTGTGCAACAGCTGAAGGAGTATGATGGCAAGAAGCTGGTCTCAGTGACAAAGGAAGGCCTAGAGCTTCCTGAAAGCGAGGAAGAAAAGAAGAAATTCGAGGAGGATAAGGTCAAATATGAGAACCTGTGCAAGATCATGAAAGATATCCTCGAAAAGAAGGTAGGATGTGTTATCTGTTCAGCAGATCAGCATCGTTTCGTATCATTCGTTCATCACATCACATCAGCTGATGTCTTCAGGTTGAGAAAGTCGCTGTGTCCAATCGCCTGGTTTCATCACCGTGCTGCATCGTGACATCGGAATATGGCTGGTCTGCAAATATGGAGCGTATCATGAAAGCTCAGGCCCTCCGAGACTCATCCACTATGGGATATATGGCTGCAAAAAAACACCTCGAAATCAACCCAGATCACTCTGTCATTAAGTAATTTTTTTTTCTTTTGATCAGTTTAACTGCGTTTGTAATGCATTCTTTTCTTGAAACGTATTTCTTTTTCAGGGCACTGCAAGCGCGTGTAGAGGTGGACAAAAACGACAAAACTGTGAAGGACCTTGTGGTGTTGCTTTTTGAAACCGCTCTGCTTTCGTCTGGTTTCTCGCTTGAGGACCCTCAGTTACATGCATCGAGAATTTACCGAATGATCAAAGTAATAATTTGCGCAACTTGAATCTCTTAGAGATCTAACCGTACAGCGTATTGAGCTTTTTCTTTTTACTCCAGCAAGAGTAGCATGGTTACTTATTCTTCTCGTTTCTTTTTCAGCTTGGTTTGGACATTACCGATGATGATGAGGAGGAAGAGGTAGTGGCATCTGTTTCGGGTGAGAAGGATGAGGTACCAAACCTAGTTGGTGCTGAAGAAGACGCATCGCGCATGGAAGAAGTCGATTAAATTTGTTCTTTGAGTGTTATATTATTTATTATTTAAATTCTTGCTGTCAGTGAAAAATGCGGAAAAGGCAAAAAGTTCATTTGCCCGAAAGGCTTGTCTGTGTTAGCATTAATCAAAGTTGAAATTGTTTTTGTTACTACATTCGTCTTTTTCTTTGTGGCGTCCCTGCTTGTGGGCATTAGCCGATCTCGAGTTGCTGTGTTGCTTTGTGGCGGCCGCACCTATGGTGTCGCCGAGTGCTCATTCACCGCAAGTTATTTGTTGTGTTCTCCTCACCAATAAAGCATCATTTCGTTTACCTGCCTTTGCTACTACCGCACAGTGTAACATTCTAAAACTACTGGTCGTAGGTGATG